TTATTGTTTGCTGAATTACAACAAGTTGATAATATTAGATTTTTGTCATCGGGATGTTTCCAAAAGCAATGACATTCTCTTACCTAGATGCAATGTATTTATGATTTAAAAAGGTTTTTACAATCCGAGCCCTCATAAAATTCTGAGTATCTTTGAAATCAAATCTTGTTTTGAACACATTGCTATAATCAGGACAATGTTGTGGGCTTTTGATCCTAGGAATCTTTGAGAGTGGAAAACTTTCCTCTCCCATATAACAGATGGACAGATTTAGTCCTGTTGCTTTTGTCTCTGCAAGGAGTGCAAGGGGGAATGGAGGGAAAACCTCTGAACTCAAAATGGTGTGACTCATGAGTTCAATTTGTGCCTGTGTCACTACATTCTGATATGATCAGGTTTACTGTCTTTCTAGATTTTTTAAAGTATGATTTCAAATGGCCCTAAACTGGAGTCAACTCTTTTGTATGGCTACATGAAACTTAGAAGACAATTCCTTCTTTTTTAAGTGTTGCAAAGTGCATATTAGGCACATAAGATTTACATTTTCTGGACCTAGATAAAGTATACTTTTTACTCCCTTGATGGGCTAAGCTTGTAAGATACTGATCTATACTATCATCTTCCAAAAAAACAGTTTCATTTTTAATTTTTTATAGCTCTCCCACTTAGAGCTCAACTCTCCAATACAGTATTTCAGTTATTTCCCTACTTATTTGGATATGTGAATGTAATGTTTAATATAATATCTGTTCTTTAGTTTTACTTGAGTTATTTATTCATAAGAATCATTAGACATTATTGTTTATAATGCCCATGATTTTGCTACCTGAGGACTTAATAAATTCTATCTCCCCAGAAGTAAAAACACACAATTTTAAAATAATCATTTTAAATAACAAGATGTCATTGTTTAACATTTAATAATGTGAAATCTTTCATTTTTCTTTGTATAAGAAAAAATACAAATTGGGTGGCTAAGTGAAGACATTTGCAAGATAACAAAAGTATATTCAGAAGCATGGAGTATGGAATGTGGAGTATGGAGTGGTGTGTGTGGAGGCGGTATGATTATGTTTCACTGTGTAGCCCAGGCTGGCCTTGAACTTGCAGCAATCCTACTCCATCTACAACCAAGTTGCTTTGGATCAATTCTGAGAGTATGCTACCATGGCCAACTTAGAATATTTTAATGCTGAATACTGGTGATGAAAGCAGATGTCTTTCCTTTGTTCTTGTTCTTGAAAGGGGTGTTCAGCATTCCACAGTTATGTAATGATCTTGGTCATAGAATTTTCATACATGTTCTTTGTTGACTTACAGAGGATTCTGTCATTCCTGGTTTTCTTAGATGACCCATCAGAGGATGTACGACTCAACAATTATTCCAAATAATAAAATTCAAATAGCTTTGGGAAAAATTGGAGTATGTAAGGCTACCATATTTTTATCTTTGACCTAAGAGTCTTAAGAAAACCCAAAGCTGTGGGCACCATTCTTCCTGCCCTCTGAACCTTGCTGTGGCACTCCTCAGTTCCTTTGAATGACATACTTCCTAAGCAGAAGGTATCCGTTATTTTAATTATATTTCCACACAAAAAGGCTTGATGCACTCTGTTAAAAACCCAGAAAACTACCACCTAAGACCCAAGGCTGTTCCAGTTCTTATAAGTCATTCTTTCTTCTTACCACAAGTCATACCTTCAGTCTAACAAAAAAAAGGAAGATAAATAAAACAAAAAGAGAAGAATTTCTCAGCTCTTCTGCTCTAAGGTGCCACTGTAGACAGGGCTTTTATGGACAGTGTTAGTCTGCAAATGTGTGGACATCATGCTGGTGGTATAATGAAGAGGCTGGAGACCTTGGTTCTGTTCTGTACCCCATTTCTATCTAGACACTTGACTTTGGAGAAGCCTCCCTAGCAATCTCTCTGACTTCACTGTCTTCATATGCAAAACACATGAGTATCACCAAGGTATGAATGCCAAGGACCCTTTCACATTTGGAATACTATGTTTAGTAATTAGAATAACTAAACATACAGACAGATTGATGAAGGCCCCTTGTGGCACAGATCCAGAATCCAAATATTTGAGAAACTAAGGCAGTAGAATCCTGAGTTTGAGGCCAGCCTGAGCTACTTAGTCAGAGCTTGTCTCAGAAAAGAAAAGAAAAAAAAAGTAAGTCAGATGTTTACAAAATGATGAATCTGCTAGATAGCAAATGCAAATACTCTGGGCAACTGATACCAAAGTCACATGTCATAAATATAGGTTGTGACATTGCATATTGATTTACTCTTTCCTAAAAAATGTCTCCTCATTTATCTCCTCAGATCACTGCTTCCTGGCCAATAAGAAATTATAGGGCAAAGTTTATTTATTTATTTGTTTGTTTGTTTGTTTCTCACATAGGAATTTCTCCCCTTCAGCTTCAACAAAGAAGAAGTATGTAAAAACCCCCAAGTTATGGTGCTACCCAGGAAGAGGTGAGGAAACAGGGTAACAGGAGCTGGCAGCTGAGCAATTTCATTTCAGAAGGGCAACTGACCTAGCTCTAGGTAGTATGGCATTGTATTCACAAGCACAGTGCAACTCAGACCCAACATTTAGATTCACTTTAGTTGTATGCCTTTAAGCAAACTACTTGACTCATTTGTGCCTCTGTTTTCTCATCTGTAAAATGAAAGCATCAGTATTACCTTCTCATAGGGAATTTATGAGGATTAAATGAGACACACATAAAGTACACATAAGTCTTAATAAATGTCAGACTTCACCATTACAAAAATGGTTGAGAGGGTGACCATAAGGTTAGACATAGATCAAATATTAATTAAAGAGGTTTGGGACTATGTGGTGATATTTTATCTGTGTACCCTAATAAAACTTATCTGATGATCAGAGGAAAAAGCCAGCCTCTGTAGTAAACATAGAAGTCAGGCAATGGTAGCACACACCTTTAATCCTTGCATTCTGGAGGCAGAGATCTGTGAGTTCAAGGCCACACTGGGAACAGAGCCAGGCATGGTGGCACATGCCTTTAATCCCAGCACTAACCATGGAGGTCTGGAGGTCTGTACAGACAGACAGAAAGTGATGTAGCTGGACGGAGAGAGGAAGTGAGATGGCAGAACAGAAGGTATATAGGTGTGGGTATACAGGAAGTAATTCCCTCTGGAAGCTGAGGAGCTGGTGAAGTGAGGTTGGCTGTGGCTTGTTCTATTCCTCTGATCTCTCAGCTTCACCCCAATATCTAGCTCCAGGGTTTTTTATTAATAAGACTGTTTAGCAATTCGTCTTACTGGACTATGGCTTTGTAAAGGGCTTCATGCTGACATCTAAGTAAAATTCCAAGTCACTCATCTCACCAGTCACCTTGGGCCCTTACTTCTCACTTAGCTATGGGTGTGATAGAAGCACTTGAGTTCTGGAAGCAGAAAGATGAATCAATCTTAATCTTGACACTTAGATCCATGAGCCTGGGCTAATCAGTTAGCTTTTTAGTTTCTCCATGGTCACACTAAGAAATAATACCTACATTTATGGAGTATTGTGAGAATGAAAAGAGATAAAGAATCTATTACAGTAGCACTTGATAATAGTTCCTTTCAAGATGGGACGGGGGAGAGAGGGTTAAGATGCTTCAACTATATTTTTATAATGCTTATTTATGAACAATTAAGATATTCTTGAGTTATTGATGAGCAAAGCTAGGAACTTATGCATGATAAGTAAGCACTCTTCCAATAAGCTGCATTCCTAGCCCTGTATATGCAGTTTACCACAGATAGACTATTTTGTTTGTTTGATTTTTGGTGCTAGAGATTGACTCCACAGCTTTGTACGTGTTATACACATGCTCTACCACTGAGCTACATCCCAGGCCCATTGGTGTTGTTGGCCTTTGGTGTGTTAAGACCCATGAATGTTTGGTTCTCAGGGAGAACAAAATCTAGACAATCAGGCTTTCATGCTTGACTTTAAAAAACACTTAGTGCATTTCTTATATACATAATGTTGAGTGGAGAGAAAAATAGCACAAAAGAATATACACTGTGATTCCATTCATAGGACATTTGTGAAAAGGCAAAACACTATGGCACCTCAGGCAGAATTGTGATTTCCTTTGTTGAGGTGCTGCCTGGGAAAGGAAGCAAGGAAGGCTTTGGGGGTACTAGAAATGTTCTAAACCATGATCTGGGCATTATGTGTTTGAAAACTGGAGCACACTAAATTCAGGCACTCCCCTACACATGTGCTGGATCTCATTAACAATGTCCTGGGAAGGTGCTTCAATTACTCCCTTCCTTTAATTTGGAGAAAAGGAAGATGAGAGCAATACAGAAGCTTTTACGTGCGTCTAGTCATAGACCAAAGCCTTCATTTTGGTAATTACTTTTAATTTTGTAGAAAAAGCTTGATGTGGCAACAGCACTGTGATTCACCTCCCTGCTTTCCCAGAGCACTCTGTGAAATGAAGGCACAGTAGGGGGAATATATATAGTTCTTTTCTTCGTATATAAAGGGTTTATAAATCAGAACACCAAGCTCAGTGCTGGCCATTTCCTGGGGAATTAATAGCCAGCTGAGGTTAATGGTCCTTGGTTCGACTTTAGACCATCAAGTTTTCTTGCTTCTCATTAATTCCCAGAGAATGCCCTGTGCCTTGATGGTTATTGCTTAAATACATTAAAATAAAGTTAAGGGGCTGACTTAATGTTTAGCTGTGATAATGGAAAACACAAGAAAGCATTCCCAGCAGACACATTCACTGCTGCGTGTTTTTATTTAACTCATTTTCTTCCGTGTTTTTGAGCAGTGTGATGGGATGGTACACATGGGCATTTTTTTTTCAGATGTTGTGGCTGTGTGTGTCAGTGTGTGTTTAATGCTCAAAATTCAGCACAGGAAACCTATGCAGAAGCCTAACTGAAAACCTTTACAATGGGCTCATTCTGTCAATGAACATCTTCTATTTGAGTGCAAGAGAAATGACTTAGACACAAGAGAAAAATAAGTTTATGAAAATATGGGTTCAGTAAATTAGCTGCTCTTTATGAATTTGGCACAAAGGCATTTACAAAAGCAAGAGTTTGTGGTTAAAGTAGGCCCAAGAGAAGAATGTAAAGTGGGGAGGAAGCCTTTAAAGCAGCATTTTTCCATTTGCTTCTTTGGAGGGTAGAAAGAACCTTTCCTAAGGGTCCTCTGTTTATTACTCCCTAATGGAGGCAAATCATCCTCAGGCAGTTCCAAGCAATTCCTGAAACAGAAGAGCACATACATTTCTAATTTTTAAAACTCCTCTTCACTTAATTCAATAAAATGAACATTTGTTACAAGTAACTTATATGTAAAGCTGAAAAGGGAAGAGGTGGTAGACTATGAAGTCCTTGTCATCTGAGGCTCATAAACAAGTGCAAAAAAAAAAAAAAAGGACAGACAGATCCTGGCTGCAGGGCAGACTGTTTATCCCTCCAACAATGGCAAATTGCACATATGTTCAGAAAACACATGGAGGACCGAGGACTCAGAGTTCACTGTTGGAGGAAAGGCCCTGGATTCCATCTCCACCATCAGCACAGCAATAAAAGAGAAAAAAGCAAAGATGTAAAAGTCATTGTGGCCGGGCGGTGGTGGCGCACGCCTTTAATCCCAGCACTCGGGAGGCAGAGCCAGGCGGATCGCTGTGAGTTCGAGGCCAGCCTGGGCTACCAAGTGAGTTCCAGGAAAGGCGCAAAGCTACACAGAGAAACCCTGTCTCGAAAAACCAAAAAAAAAAAAAAAAAAAAAAAAAAAAAAAAAAAAAAAAAGTCATTGTGAACATAAAGGAGTTATTCATTGATCAACCAACTGATAGTATTCAAAGCATTTGAACTAACTCTTTATTCCTTCTACCAATCAGGGCCCTCCCCATTCCCTTAAAGGACATGACTAGACCTCCAGGGCCCATAGTTAAAGGACACTTCCTTGGAAACCTTTCTGAGAATGATATGAACCTCTCAAACTAATTATTTGAATGTATGGGGTTAGGGCAGTGATTCTCAACTTTCATAATGCTGAGACCCTTTAATACCGTTTCTCATGTTGTTGTGACCCCAACCACAAAACTATTCTTGTTGCTACTTCATTAAGTGTAATTTTGCTACTGAATCATAATGTAAATATTTTTGGAGACAGAGGGTTTGACCACAGGGATTGTGACCCTTAGGTTGAGAACTGCTGGGTTAGGGGGAATAAGAAAATTGTCAAGAAGAAGGTCAAATTCACCAGTCCTCTCTGAGAATTAAGATCAGAACATCTCAGGGCAGAGCTGAACATCTCATATGAACTGACTTCTCTGGTCAGTTTTTAATGTGCTGCAGTTGGAATTCACTGAATATAAGTTTTTCAAATTAAAAAATAGCTTTTTTGGCTCATATAAATTGAAAAGGTTTTTAAATAATAAAGAAACCATCGCTGCTACCAAAAAACAGTTTGTCTTGAGAGAAACTAAATTCTTAACATTCAAACTGCCCATAAATACTTTATAACTGATTTCCTCCATTGGGAATTTTGTTTAGATTCTTGTAACTTAGGACCACTTCAAATCGACTCTTAGTTTCCTATGGTTCAGATAATTCTTGACATATTAGCGATGTGCTTAACACATTAAAGAAAAAGTGTTAGGGTCTCAATATATACCCAAGGCTGACCTGGAACTCACTATGTAGCTGAAGCTGCCTCCCAAGTGCGGAGGTTACAGGTGTGTACTACCAAGTCATATTTTTCAATACATATTTGATCAGTGGAAGAATGAGCAAATTAATACAGATAAATTCATATTTTAGTGGCCAGAACTCCTCTTTCAAAATATTATCATGATCAAAATAGAATGGAAATGAGACAATAAATTGGAAATGGTCTGATCTCCACAAGATTGGTAACCACCAGATGATGTAAGTATGTCCCAAATCTCTGGTTTAGATGACACTCTTGGTAGATGTTGCTTCATATATAAAATGCGTCAGGCTAATTTGCAACATCTCTATCAGTAACATTGAGGAAAGTTAATTGTGACAATAAGGTAAGATGTAACTGGAATTTGTATTAATGTGAAATTTAAATGTCTACATAATAATTGAAAAATAAACTCACATTACAGATTGAGTATCCCTTATCTGAAAAGTCTGAGGCAAGATACATTTTAGATTTTAGAATTTTTAAATTTTGGAATATTTGCATATACATAATGGGGTATTTTATGGATGTGATCAAATACTAGACATGAATTTGTACCTTGTACACATAACCTAAAGGCAATTTTATATATTGTTTTAAAAACATTTTTGTATAAATAGGTTCGCCATATGGAATCTTCCACTTATAGCATCTGATTGACACTTGAACATTAATTTGGAATCATTTTTAATTTCAGATTTAGTAATTAAGGATATTCTCTCCCTCTCTCTTTTTCTCTCTTTCTCTCTTTCTTCCTATTTCTTTTTCTTCTTATTTTTCCCTATAAACTGTGGATGGTAATTATACTTTTCCTACCTCCCAGGGTTGAGGACTACATAATATAAATGAAATATCTAAGTGTTGTGCTGTGGATATCACTCTGTATAAATAAAACACTGATTGGCCAGTAGCCAGGCAGGAAGTATAGGCGGGACAAGGAGAGAGGAGAATTCTGGGAAGTGGAAGGGTGAGTCAGGAGCCACTGCCAGCCAGAGAAGATGTTAAGATACCGGTAAGCCACGAGCCACGTGGCAACTTACAGATTAATAGAAATGGGTAAATTTAAGATAGAAGAACTAGATAACAAGAAGCCTGCCACAGCCATACAGTTTGTAAATAATGTAAGTCTCTGTGTGTTTACTCAGTTGGGTTTGAGCGGCTGCAGGACTGGTGGATGAGAGAGATTTGTCCTGCCCATAGGTCAGGCAGGACTGGAGAAAACTCCGGCTACAGTGATGTGGCATTATATAAATACTAATGATTGTTACCACTTTGGTTTTCTATTGGTGAATATTCTTGTAGAAACCACTTCACCTGTGGATCTTTCCTTTCATAGCACAACCCAAGAAGCCGTGTGACCTTCACTTCAGACTGTCTCCAGGATAAAATAAGATGATTTTTTTTATCAGCAGCCAAAGAAAAATGTAACAAGACAATAATACTAGGTAGAAAACACTTTTAAAAACTTATTTCTTAAATAACCTACACATTTAATTTTCTTACGTAATCAACAGTTAATCACCAACTCATTCCATATTGGGCTCATAACCTGCAGAGGTCTCACCAGAAAGAATGGTGCTGTTTAGCTGCTGTGCTCTGTTCTCCTCCATTTCCAGGTGGTTTTGTTTCCAGCTAGCCCAGTTATTTTCATCATACTCCCTTTTATCTTAAGTTCACATAACCTCAACAACATGAATCTAGGGCAAAAGAGGAGAGATTAGATCTAACACTATCGATTCATTGATGTGGGCTCTGTTGGTTTTGATTTTAGAAGGTCAATGCCCTATGGGCCAAATTTGTTCAAAGGACACACACACAATAATGATATAGTGCTTCCTGCCTTCAAAAATCCAGCGACCACTGCTTAAATACAGGTATCAGTGAGAAAATGTAATGTATGCTTTAAAAAAATAAGTCTCTGTGTAGGTTAGAGTTATTCTATAATTATGTCTTAAATAAATGAAGACCTTTTAAAACATATAATAATAATAATAATAATAATAATAATATTGTTGATACTTCAGATAAATGGTTCCTGTTTTATTTTTAATGTGTCATTAGCTTACCATTGCTGAAAACTTAACCATGTTTTTAAGAAATTCACAAATGGAAATGAGATTATATTAGTAATTTACTATAGAGCAATGTACTTTCATTATGCTTATTTAATAGCACATTAATATTGTGAAAATTCCTTTTAATGCAAATCCACCACCTAGTTGCGATGAGTGGTAGGCAGGAAGGAAAGGAGAAAAAAATCCAAATAGAAGAATTGAGGAAATGTGACAACACCTTGGGGAGGCTTTAAAATATATTTTAGGGGCCAGGAACATAGCTCAGTGGTAGAATGCTGGACTAGCATGCACAAGGTCATGAATTCCATCCTCAGAATCACAAAAGTATAAAATTACAAAGCATTAATAAATAAATTCAATAAAATATATTTTGAAATCCAGGTATAGTGGTATAAGCCTATGGTTCCAACACTTAGGAGGCAGAGGCAGAGACAGAAGAATCATGAGTTCAAGACCAGCCTAAGACATGGAGTGAGACCATATCTTCAAAAAATGAATTATATATATATATATATATACATATATATATATATATATATATATATATATACACGATATTTTAGAGTTTTTTAGTGCATAGAAAATGTCACCAACAGCTACTGCCAATGACAGTCATGCACATAGTTGTATGTGTGGTAATGGAGATGAAAGCAGGTTTCTATTGAAGCATTTGGCTAAGACCCAGCCTTAGTGGATGAGTATCTAAAATTGTTCTGGATCCCATATATATTCCAAAGCTCCCTGCCTGCTACATGATCCCATGTGATCTTGTTGACCTTTGTGCCAGTTATCTATTTGCCAAATTTCATTGAAGTTTCTTTTGTCTCCTTCAGGTAGTTCCTTGAACTCATGGTTCCCTTGATTCATGGGAAAAAAGTAGATCACTAGTAACTTACCCCAGAAGTTGGTCACCTGAAAAGGCTTCAGTCATCAACAACTCCACAAAAATTTCCACATCTGTGTTTGGCTGGGGAGAAAGTCCCATGCTTGCATTAAAGTCTAAAAGTTTAGGGGGAAAAATGGAAGATTTTCAGATTCTGCAAGATGAAGCCAGTGGGAGGACAGCGAGAAAAGGGGCAAACTGAGGCAGATAAAAGAGAAACCCAGGAGACAAGAAAGGGATAAGACAAGAGACAAAGGGGAAAGAAAAGAAGGGAAAACAATGAGTTGGAGCAAAGGAAAACAGAGGGCAGTCCACAAGGAAATAGAAAACAAGGACCTGAAGGCTTCCATAACAGCTTGCCCTGGAGCTCAGGACACCAGCAAACATGTTTCTGTTGGGCTCATGGAAGTTCTCATAGTACTTGGGTGTTAATGGATACCTCAAGTGGGGAAAAATGGAAAAATTAGAAATAGATGAGTTTTTCATTACGGATATTCTATCCCGTGGTTAAGTCTCATTCTTCTACCAATAAAATTTCACATCATTTAACCAACTCTTTTTATTTCCAGAAGTCAGATCCATAGTTCTTAGTCATTTATTTTAAAGTTAAAAGCATTTATTTTTTCTTTCCTCACTTTTGCTCATTTCTGAGGTTAAAAAGGCAATCATAAACTTTGTATGATGAATTTTCCATTCATTCTCCTCCTCTCTTTCAATATGCCAATCAAGCTGTCAGCTTGCTTTCTCTGCAGATTCATAACACTTCACCTTAGGTCTCATTAATTGATTTATCCTTTGTTGCACATGAAGAAATCACGGGAGTTATAATTCAGAACTTCTTCAACTGTCTTCTGGAGTTTTAGCTCCCACTATTTATTCTTTATTTTCTGTTTTTCATAAAAATAAAATTCCTTTTGCTTTTAACCACCTTTCATTGACCCCATATTCCAAAATGAAGTTTGATTTACACTCATAACTTATAGATAGGTCTACTTTCACAAATTTCTAAAGGCAGTCAAACTTTATTCATTTATTTTGACTCTACTTAAATTTTGTGAAACATACGATTTGCTCAAGTGCTAGGATTAAAGACATGTGCCACCATGCCCAGCCAGAGGCCAGAATTGTTCTTAAACCTAAGCAAACTGAATAGAAATCTTATTTTGAAAATATTCATGGATAGATGACATAGTGGTACCTGAAGAGATCAGTTTAAGTTAATGTAGCTACTTAATTGCTGGAAAAAAAAAACCAACTATGCTTCTAAAACATGGACATTTAAGTTGACATTAAGGCCATTAAGTGTTAGAGTCAGATTGTCTTCTTTGGAATACTGGCTCCACAATTAGAACTTTCTGTGTGATCTTGGTCTAGTTACTTCTTGGAGTCACAATTTCTTTTCTATAACACATGGGAAAATACAGAAAATACATCCTAAAGTTGTCTTGAAGAGCTATTGAAATTAAACATATCAAATACTTAGCACACTACCAGAAAGGTAGTTTGCACATTGGCAGCTGACCAAGTCTGTTGTCCCAGAATGTGATCCTGAGTAAAGGGATTTGTATATAAATTGTCTACCTGGCCAATGGTCTCAGGAAACACTAAGAAGGGAGTGTGGAGACAAGTCAGGGAAATGAAACAAGACAATACAGGATGTTATCAATTAAGTTGTCACTATGGGTAGCTGGGGTTCAGACCCACTGAGGACCTTGATGAACTGCACAGCATATATCTTAGAACTATGTCCACACTCCCTGTCAAATAACAAGGGAAATAAGGTGTCTGTTGCTCAATTCATTTAGAAAACATTGAAATATTATTTACTAGCCAGTCTCAGTGACATTTGCCTTTAATCTCAGCACTTGGGAGGTAGAAACAGGTGAGTCTCTATGAGTTTAAGGCCAGCCTGGTCTACATAGTGAGTTCCAGTACAGCCAGGGCTATATAGTGAGACCTAGTCTTGAAAACAACAACAAAAAACTATTTATGTATGTATGTATTTATTTGTGTGTGTGTGTGTGTGTGTGTGTGTGTGTGTGTGTGTGTGTGTGTGTGTGTGTGTTTGTGTGTGTAGGGGGGTACAGGCATATATGTGCTACAGTGAGTATGTACAGGTATGTAGAGGTAAGGGGACTGTTGTAGAATATTAGTTTAAGATGTGTTACATTTGTTTATGCTGTGGAATATTTGTTTAATGATGCAAAGATGTGTTGCATTCTTTTATGTTGCATGTAGTGGGTATTTGTTCCATCTATGACCTTGGGGTACTAGCCCCTAGGCATGGCCTCTTGGCTAGCTTAAAATCTGAAGAGCAGGTATGCTACATGGGAGCCCCTTCTCTCTTCCAAGTTCTTTGAAGGTGGAGACAGACTCACGCATCAGAAAGCAGTGTGGGACTGGCCCTTAGCCTTCCACAACTCTGCAATGGATTTGCCTTCTCCTGTGTTAGTGAGTTGTTCTCTTCAATATAATTCCTTAATAAATAATTCCCAGGCTGGAGAGATGTCTCAGAGGTTAGGAGTACTGTATACATAGTAAATAAATCTTTTTTAAAAAATTAAAGAAATAAATAATTCCTTTATCAGTTATCTGTGGACTTTCTGCATAAGTTCCATTTGTTTAACTCTATGAAGCTGTGTTACTGTGCCTGTCTAAAACGCCTGACTGATCTAACAAAGAGCTAAATAGCCAATAGCAAGGCAAGATTAAGGATAAGCGGTGCTAGCAGGAAGAGAGAATAAATAGGAGGAAAAATTTAGGCTCGCAAGAAAAGAAAGGAGAGGAGAATGCCAGGGGCCACCACTCAGCCACACAGCCAGTAATGGGGTAAGAAGTAAAGAAAGACATATAGAATAAAGTAAAAACCCTGAGGCAAATGGTAGATGGGGTAATTTAAGTTAAGAAATGCTGGCTAGAAACAAGCCAAGCCAAGGCCAAGACCGGGCATTCATAAGAAAGAATAAGTCTCTGTATATTTATATGGGAGCTGGGTGGCAGGCCCCCAAAGAGCAAAAAGTACAAAAATACCAACTACTGGGGACAACTTTCAGAAGTCAGTTCTTGACCTTCTACTTTGTTGAAGCAGGATCTTGTGGTTTCTGCTGTCTCACTGCACACTTCAAGCTACCTGACCCTTGGAGCTTCTAGATGATTCTCCTGCTTTGCTTTCCATCTCATTATGTAACTGGTGTGATCAAAACCATGCACAACCACATCTAGCTTTTTGCATGGGTTGTTGGGGGTGGAACTCAGATTGTATGGATTTCGGAGCTATTGCTACTACCTGCTGAGCCTCCTCCCCAGCCCTATTGTTCAATTCTTAATGAGTTTATCAGGAGTACTACCTACAATTACTTAGCTTTTATGGCCCTTACATTTTTAACTTGATTCAACTAGAGCATCTTAGAGTTCCAATAGCATACATTTAACGAAATTTGGTCCTCCAGGTGAAGCTGTGGCCAGTGACAAGCAACCATGCTTGTGGATGCAATTTCAGGGTAGCAGTGCTAGACACTGGAACAGAAAATCAGAACTGTTCAGAACAGTCAACGTTATAGCCAGTTTGTCAAGAGTATATGTGAAGGGGCTAGAGACATGGCTCAGAGGTTAAGAGTACTTGCTGTTCTTAAAGAGGACTGGGATTTCATTCTCAGAAACAACATGGTGGTTCACAACCATCCATAATTCAAGTTACAGAGGATTTGGTGCCATCTTCTCATCTCTGTGGGCAACACACACACACACACACACACACACACACACACACACACACACACACACACGATGTACATACACATAGGCAAAACACTCACATATGAATTGAAATGAATAAACCTAATAAAATATTTTTAAAGAGTATATGTCAAATCTGTAGAGCAAGTCAAGGTCAGAGTAGGGAACTGAGGAAGCAGTGTAAGAGTCAGAATGTGGGCCACGGCAAGTAGATCAGGGCCAGTACCTACCAAGATTAAAAAAAAAAAAGAATGAGAAAGCTGACAAGTCATGTCCAGAGTATGCTTTGCTGGCTTAAAAACTTTGCTTCTGAAAAATGGTGTAATTATATGAAATTTAGATGGAAATTTTTCTTTTAACCCAGAAAAAGAATAGCAAAAACAATAATTTTGTATGTCAAAGTCACAAATCTTCAAAACTTGGGGTGATCTACAAGGTCTATGTAAAACTCAACCTGCACTTCATTCAAAATTCAGCTCAAATGTGATTCTCAAAGAAGCTTTCTCCCCTAGGTACCTCTTGTCCTTTCTGCATTGTTCTGACATGCCCTCAATCTCTTCTGTGGTACCTACTTTGACACCTTGGTTTCAATGACACAATTAGATGGGCTTTTAGTCATTTGATGATCACCTTCCTGACAGGTCTCTCACTTTTACCACACGATGCAAGGACTTTGCTTGCATATGTCAGACCCTGGGTAATAATTTGTGGAATGAAAGACCAATAGTTGCAGTGTAAGGTATGTAAAATACCATGTGGGCTAATAAATATTAGCCAAAGATGTGCACAAATAACCTCTCCTAGCTTATATCCCTAGTGATCCTTTCAGCAATGTTTCCCTGCAACTGTTTGTATAGATGAAATGGCCCCAGTCCACTCCGTTGCTGGGCAGTGCAAAGTGCCTTTCTCAGCAATGTTTTTAGCTGACAGCTGCTCAGGAAGTCCTCTTGGCTGGTGCATGCAATGCTGAGCAACTCAAATTCCAGACACTGACTGAAAACTATCTGTTTTCTGTGGGTCATAGTTCCCACCAGAGACTTGCCTCAAGTAAGTCTGCAATACCCCACCACAAGCCATTCAGAATAGGCTTTGAACCTTTCACTCTCCTTTTCTTTAGGAGTGTTCAGTCACAGGTGTCTAAGGATCTTAGCCATAAACCCAAGCCCTTTTTCTTTTCTCTTGGGATGGAGGAGCACTTGTCTGAACATTTGTTGTGTGACAGACTTCTTGGAAGACACAACACACCTGTCTATTTATCCCAGATAGGGATCCCACAACAGACCAAAATATGGATACTACCAAAGTTCAACTTGGTGAACCAATGAATTTATTGGGGTCACTTTCAGGAATATGGATTAGGGGTTATTCACTAGAGCAGAAATTACTCTGAAAAACAGCTGCACCACCAAAGCCCACGCCCTAATGGGTGATAACTCACAAAATCTGGAGTCATTGAGCACACTGCACACCCTGCAGGTAGCTCAACAGGTCGGAGGGTGTCCTGTCCAGCTGTCTCTGTTGGTCTTAACTTCTCTCAGGCAGCTTGACTGGCCTCTGTTTCTTCTAGGCCGCTGAGCTTATCTCTGTTTCTTCCAGACATCTGGGATTGTCTGAAAATGACTCTCATCAGTCTTTATTTTTTGTTTGTTTCTTTTTGTTTTTGTTTTTATTTTTGTTTTTGTTTTTCAAG